TACAACATGCGTTGACATTCTGGACAAAGGTAAGGTTCCCATCCTCTTTTCGGTTGAGCAAATGCGGAACCTTCGCATGAATATTGAACACACTCCTGGAGGTGAGTTTTTGACTTGTCCACTTTTCGGAATGCAACGCACCGCATTGGCGGTCAGCACATCCAACCATCCAGTCCTTGACATTATGGCTCTTGCAACTTCAAGTTGGAAACCGATGTACAGCTTTCAGTCCGAAGACATCACATGTCCAGCATGTAACGGTAAACATCGTCCACACACAAACAAGGAAGGTTGCAAGAAGTTCAAGGGATCCGAACAAGGTAAGTTCACCATGCTGAATTGATTTGTTTTGATTGCCTTTGGGGCTTTGGGGGCCACAGGCTTGACAGTCATTGAGAGTGACGTGGCGATGGCTGCCCAAGATGTGTTGTCCAAGTTGCTGGAGCGCCAGAATGTTCAGCAAGTCTTGCATGGTGCTTCTTGGTTGCAGGGATGCCTGAAGTTTTTGTGGAATCAGTCATAGATGTGTTCAGATTATTAACCTCTAACAATTTTATCAGTCTTTTTGGTTTGCGCGTTCATGTTTGTCAATATGAATTTACCACTTTTGAACATGGTATCTAAGTTGGTGTGCCACAGCCGCGAGCTGTTGCAGCAGTTTATCATGGACGATCCCCGAGGGAACTGCAAGGGCACCTACCATGTGATCATGCATCCGTACACTTTGCATTCGCTGGCACAGGGGCACGCGCTCAAGTATTACGAGCCTCATCTCAAGCTCTCAAGTTTGAAGGTTTGTTGCGCAATGCTCTGTTTTGTTTTTTAACGGTTGTCTTTTTTCTTGGGTTCAGCTTGCTTGCAAGCGGCCAGTGGGGACAGAGATTCACAGTGGAGAGGATGGCCACTTCCTTGGTGCCGTGATGTCGACAACATGCCAGACGTCAACGCCTATGGGCAAGACTGCATCGCCTACGTGAAGCTGCTGATGAAAGTGAGTGGGATGTCGAGGGCTGAACCAAGGATGTTGCCCAGCATGGCCCAAGCATCCCAGCTCCGCTCCAGGGAAGACAGGAGAGGGGTTGTCCAGCAGGGCTTTGTCATTAATTGATTTCAAACAGGTTTAGAACTGGGAACCTTTTGGTTTTGCATTGCGTTCTCCTTGTCCTGTCGTTGCTTCATTTTGGCAGGAACCTCTCCTTGCTTGAGAAGTCTTTTTTCACGGAGCGGTTCACGCCTGAGTTTATACGCCAGATGGAAAAGTGTGGTGTGAGGCTGGCCTGCTTCTTGGTTAATTTTCAGCCAGATGGACCCTTCGGTGTGACCTTTTGACCTTTCACAGCCTCCAAACTTAAAATTCTTCTAGTGAAGAGTATTTTGCTGACGCCCAAGGGTCTGTTTCAAGCTTTGATCATCCTAGGCGCGCGGAGGAGTTTCAATCCACGCGATCTCTCGAGCAAGGCTCCCAGCAGTTTTTTGCCCCACTTCCTGGAGAGCAACCTCCTTGGACTCGCTCACTGTGGTGCACAAGCGACAGCTACTTCTACGCATTCCGCCACGTCGCTGCAGATGTGAGCCACAAGCATTTGTCACTCCAACTCTGGTGATGAAAGCTTCTTGACTTTGCTAATTAATAATCTGTTGCAGCCTGAAAATGTGGCATTCTTAAAAGGGTTGCCCCTTCCTAGTTAATTCTGCAGCTTGCCTATAGAACAGCTTAGGCCGATGTTCTGAAAGGCGACATGCACGAGGCGTTCTCCGACTGGTTTATGACACACAAACGCGAAGTGACAGTTGGCTGGCATGGCCAGAACAATCAAGATTTCAGGCTTTTCCCCAACCGGTTCTCATTTGCATCTTGGATGTGACATGCAACTATTTTTTCCTTCATCTTCCCTCCATGCATTTTTCCTAGCACGTCCTTTCTGTCTGAATTGAAATTGCACCGGCTTCACTGAGGTCCAGGCGATCTGCTACAAGAATAAGACGGTGCCTCTTGTCTTGGCATTTGAGCGAGAGCAAGACTGCTCATGGAAACCATTCGAGCTCCACTTGCCCGAGTTTACAAGTGGTGACCTGGCTTGCAGATGGCATTGACGACTGGGCGGACGATGGTCCCTCCTGACCCCCAGGAGGAGCGTGGTCGTCGTGGCAGGGTATCGCGGAGGCCCTGGTGGTGGTGATCGTGGTGGTTGGGGCGGTGGCGCCCAATACACTGGTGGTTGGGGCAGCGGTGGTGCAGATGCTCGTGGCCCTTGTCAGCAGCAACAGCAGTACCAGCAGCCACAGCAGCTCCAGAAGCCCCAGCGGCCACAGCAGCCCCAGCAGCCCCAGCAGCCTGGCGGCTGGGGCCCTGCGCAAGGTGGAGAGCAGTATCCTGCCGGACAGCCACAGCAAGCTGCTGCTCCTGACCCTGACCAAGACCCTCTTGGCATGGACGACCCCTGGGGCATGATGAATTGAGTCTAGCTGGCTGGTGCTGCATATGCTTGCCCTCATGGCGCATTTTAAAAGTGCTAAGGTAACGTTCAACTGTAACTTATTATTAAGATCCAAAGTCCATAGTCCAAGGTCCACAGTCCATAGGCAACAGCCCGACCAAGAAAAATCACAGAGACAGCTGCTTGAGGGCTGGGCACGCAGCCGGCAAATTGCATAGCATCGTCGACCGATGATGCTTCTTCCACCGCCGTTGCATTGGCACATTTTGCGATGGATGTAAAAAGGCTCACTAGCTTCAAGAACTGACCCAGAACTGACTAACGTGCATGGCCATTCTATGAGCAAACCCAGCATGAGTAAAAGACATTTCAGAATGCAAATTCTAGTCTCGGGCCAGGCTGGGACGCAGTTCTTTTTGCTTCAGCGAGGTGGGAAGGTGTGCCGGCAATGTGTTTTCCAATTTTTCTTCATGTAAACTTTCTGGAGCCAGATGTCTTGCACTGGTGAAGAAATGAAGTCACTAGCAGAATTTCTTCTGGAGGTCTTTTGCTGGCTAGAATATCACTGGCTTCCACGAGTCTTTTTTTGAGGCCTGGCAGCTGAGGAAAATAGGGTCTTCGACATCATAGTTGCCCCTATTATTTGTTGTCGTTCTTTTGTTCTTGTAATGCTTTTGCACATCACATATGCGAGCTTCATTCCTGCGAGGTGGTGGGTGGCGACAAACAAGCCCTTCAGCGTGTGACAGGCAGGCGTTGATTCAGCATTGGTGACCTAGATTGCAACTGGTCAGCTGCCGCCCTCTTGACCAGGCGTGGCCATCCCCTTGCTCCAGCGCGGAGGAGGTGACAAATGTGCTGAATTTGTTGAGTAAGCAGTCTGTGTTTCAAACATGGGCTTCTGTAAGCAACTTCAACCAAAGTTTCATGAAAGTCAGTGATTGAGTTGAACGAATGCTGGATTGCTTGGGAATGTCTTCTTGGTAGAGGCTTTGCTGGCCGGCGTATGCCTTTCCAAGGCTGCATTGGCCTTGGCTTCTTCTGAGCGGTGGAGATTTTCATATGAATTAAATTGAGTGTGGTTTGATATGTGCATTGGTGCTGTGTCATTGTTGCCATAGCGCAATCGTTGCTCTTGCTTGGCACCCAGCCTATTCTCTCAGGTGCTCCAAGCTACAGTGGGCAAAAAACTCAATTGTCAATCATTCAATGAGTGAAGCCTGTGCATTCAACGTTTCCCACTTGAGCTGTCTTGCGGGTTACTTCAATTTGTTTGGATGCTACTTCAGTGCTTAGAGTTGTCCTTCGCTAGAGGTTTGCGTGGGCTGGTCTACATTTACCTGCACTTGCCAAGGCTTGATTTGTTTGGGCTTTGTCTGGGCAATGAAGAATGCAGTTGTTTTGATATGTAGACAACCTGTCATTGTTGCCAAGTGCACGGTCACTTTATTTATAATAGTCACTGCTTTTTTGGCCCCCAGTTTACGGTCCACGGTCCAGGGTCCAGGGTCCACAGTCCATCGAGATGAGCCTCGACCCTTTGCCTGCCTCTCTGCTTACGTGGCTGGACGAGTGGGGACCAGGCTTGAAGAAGAGAGTGATGGCAGCACTCCAGCAGCATGGCCTTTCTGGGGCTTTGGCACCGAACTTGCTGTGCAATCACTGAGCTTTGCTCCTCATCGCTTCGATTCGGCAGCAAGTCCACTGTTCAAATTCTGCAGCCTCATTCGGGCCATCGCTCTGCTGTGCGGAATGCAAGCAGCTGTGTGGAGCAGCTTCCTTGGCCCTAGCAATACAGTCACCATTTGCGCAAATCAAGGGTGTAATAGAGGGGGAAAAATCACTAGCAATACAAATTGCCTGTGTCTGCAGAAAAGGCAGCCGAAGAAGAGGGCCAAACTACTCCCAGGTCGGCGCAAACTCGAGGTGTATTAGAAGGTTGTTTTTCCTCATCAATACATTTACGGTTCGTGCAAACCAATCGCGCGTGCATTTCAAGGATGGTTTGCGAACATCTAAGGGTCTAAGAGGCGTTCGAAATTACTTCCAAGGGTCATGTTCCAACATCCAAGGGTTGAATCACTACTGATATTTCAAGCCCTTGTTGGCACTCTGAAAATGCGGCTTCCCAGCAAAGCCACAGAATCCTGGTTGGACAAGGACCGCAAGACAGGAATGGCAGGTTTTTGGCAGGTCACAGGAGTGATTCTCCAGGCCGGGTGTCTTGAGACATGGACCGGATAATCCCTTTAATTATTCTCGGAAATGAATTGTACCGTCCGTTCCATGTTTACTCACAAGCCTGTTGGGCTAGGCTCCTAGCTCCTAGGTTTCTTGTCATTTAGCCTTTGGCATGTGGACAGGTATTCGAATATTCCGAGAAGTTGATTGCAAAGCTCCCCGGGCCTGGACTTTCGAAAGCAATACTAACTCTTGAAGATTTGCTGTCCCGGTGCAGTGCTGGGAGAAGTTTCTTCGTGGAGATGAAAAAGCAGCTGGCGAAGATTCTTGCACGAGGATGATTTAGAGGAAGAGTGCGTAGTATCGGTGCCAACAGGCCCCATGGCTTTGGTCAAGGAGAGCTTCGACAAAGCAACTGGTGTGCTGCTTGATATCCTGTTGGACCTCGTCTCTGGAAAGCATTTTTCCGATTGTCAGGAGCTTGCTTCCCAAGCTGGTGGAATGATCAAAGCCTTGCAGAACATGGGTGGCCAAGAAGACCTCCAGCTCCTCAAGGACTTGAAGATTGTGACAGACATGTTTGATGGCCATTCCAAATCCATTTCTCCAAGCAATGCTGCACCTGCCCCAAGCCTGCTGACTGTGTTGACTGCCGAAGGCAAGCTTGATCATGAGGCCGACGCAGAACGTGACAGGCACTGGAAAATGATCCAATCTGAGAGGAGAAGGTTTGTTAGCTTTGGAATCCCCAAGAATTGGTCCAAAGATGGTCTTCTGGCATCCTTCAGAGCTTCTGGGAAGGTCTTTGCACAGTCTAGGCAGCTCAACAGCAATCACAGATTGTTGTGTGCATCTGCTGATCTTTTTGTTGAGCAGGGCGATGAGCCTTGGGCTACCCCTTCTGTTCCTCCACCGAACCTTTGGAAAGAGATTCTGGCTTTCATGGGCTCCAGCGCCACCGGGCCAGCAGACTTTGTGATGGCATTTGATGGGAGGATGCGTGAAATGCGCCGCCTGAGTGCAGCTTGGCTTGGGCCATCTAGTTAGCCATAGCCATGTGGGCGCATCAACTTTGATTTTAATATTGTTTCCTTGTTGTCAGTTTGATCGTGGGCTCTTGCTTTCTGTTCTTTGCTGCGCCACAGAGCCTGCAAGGAAGATGATCTGCTCAGCCAAGCCCATGCCTGTGAAGGTGCAATTGTTTACACTGGTGGCTGCCCCCCACGGGCCGGGAGATCCCGTAAAGTTCCCTTGTCTGGCAGAAAGTTGGAGACCATGGGCATCAGATGCCCCGTGCAGCGGTCCCGCATCAAGGTATCGAAAAAGCAGACCTTCACCGCGTGCGGTGAAGAAAGGACATACCAGGGCACCTACACAGGTGTTTCGTTTCGAGCCTGCAGTGAAATCCCATTGATTTCCATGCAAGAGAAGTATAAGCTGCTGGGCCCAAACGGCGTCTTGTCAGTGCCTGAGCTCCCAGAGGACTGGGTGGAACGCAATGGAGAAGGTTGTCCGCTGTTTTGGCACGAATCCAAGCCCATTGCCTTGTGGTGTGCCTTGCTTGGCGAATGGAAAGTTCATGCAGTTCTGGATTGTAGCCCTGGAAGTGGTGCCCTAATGGAAGCAGCTCTCACACGTGGCATTGTCTACCATGGCTTCTGCCTTGACCTGAGTTGGCTGTGTCACATGATTTGTTTTTAGCACTTGCTGTCAGCCAATGCCATGCTTGTCCTCGTCCATTATAATCACATCAGGCCAGCGCCTGTTCATCACAGCTAAATGGATGGTCGATGTGACAATTTTTCCAGGGTCTGAACAAAGAGCACCTGCAGTGGCTCCAGGCTATCGCTGACAGAGCAGCACGCGGACTCATTGCTGCGGAGGGGAACTCCTTATTTTCCGAGGAGAATGCCACTGCAGTGAAGAAATCATTTCCAGACGTCATTGCTTGTTTGGCAAAGGCCCAGGAGGAAGACGATGCTCAGCCTTTGGAGCCAGAAAGCCCAAATGAGTGAGCAATGGTGCCGGCATGGGTAGGGCTGGCTCATGGTCTAAGGTCCAGGGCCCACGGTCCAAAGTTCATTGTGCTCCCTAATCATGATTTGACTGGATATCAGCAGCTCGTTTCAGCCAGCTCTACTACCTTGCAGGCCTTTAGCAGCAAAAGGCTTTCCAATGGATTTGTTCCATTCAATTTTGATATCGCTTTTGTTCCATTCAATAGGATCAAATTGCAGCAGCTCCTAGACGACAAACCACTACCTTGATTCAAAAGGCGTGTTTGCCAGTGGTGAATTTGCAGTCCATTGTTTTTTTTGTTTCTCAGCGGTCTATAGAAAAGCAGCCTTGGATGTCAGCAAATGGCCCTTCTATGTCTCAAATCTACGAGATGCAGCAGTGAAAGGTGATTTGCTTACATTGAAAGGTGTGAGATGCAGGCAGGTGAGTTCTGAGGGTTGAGATGAGTAGGAGCCTTATAGAAAAGCAGCCTTGGATGTCAGCAAATGACCCTTCTAGGTCTCAAATCCAGGAAATGCAGCAGTGAAAGGTGATTTGCTTGCATTGAAAGGTGTGAGATGCAGGCAGGTGAGTTCTGAGGGTTCAAGGTCCAAGGTCCAAGGTTCGCAGTAGGGGTCCACCAGGGGCGTGGCCAGCAAGTTGCTCCTCATGATTCTACGTGCTGCCTTCTGTCCAAAAATCAGACTTGGATGCAAGACTGCCATTGAAGCAATTGCGAAGACCAAGGGCAAAACAGCCCAGCCTTCCCAGTGCAGCGACCATGTGAAAAAAGGCAGAGCAGCCAAGCCGCAACAAAGTGGCTGCAAGTCCCTTGTGAAGACCAAAGGCAAAACAGCCAAGCCTAGGCAGAGTGCTAGGCGCATGGCAGTGAAGCAAAGTTTGGTTCCCAAAGCAAGGAGGGCATTCGCCCTATTGTTTGGTGAGAACACCAAAGTCAAGAAAGGAGCTTCAAAGTCTGAGTATCAAGCAGAGATGCGAAGAGTTGCGGCGCTTTGGAAACAATTGGATGACAAGCAGAAGGCTCCTTTCCACAAAAAAAGCCTTGAAGAATTCCAAGTACAAAGGGACGCAATGGGGCGTTTGGGCTTCGATGTTCGGAAGTGCTTGCGGCCGGGCAAGTGCGAGGATCGCGGTGAATCCGAGCTAGCCCCCCGGAATGCTTTGCCCCATGCCCAGCGCAAGTTCCGCATTGGCAGTTACACCGTCGTAGAGGATCAGCTGGGTAGTGGCTCTTGTGGAAAGGTATTTTCTTCCTGCTGCCCAAATGGCCGGTCTTGTGCCATCAAAGTCTACCGCAGCCGGCAAGCACATCATGAGGCAGCGTTTGAGCTTGCTACTTACGAGAAGCTCGGGAAGCTGGCAATGCCGCATTGCCAATGGTTTCCTATGGTCGTGGACTTGGACGCCTCAGGACGATCATGGCCCTGGTTGGCACTGTCCTACACTGGGGTTAGTTTGGCAGCCCGTTTGAACGCTGGAGGCCCAATGCCCCAAGACTTGGTTGAACACTTGTTGCTGCAATTGAAGGCTGCAATCTGCGTGTTGCACGATGAGGCCAAACTCTTGCACTTGGACATCAAGCCGGATAACATGCTGTGGTGCAGTGAGCGGCGAGAGCTGCGGCTGTGTGACTTCGGCATGTCAGAGCCTGCACCTCGCCTTCCATGTCCACAGTCCACGGTCCACGGTCCATCCAAATCTTCGGCACCGCAGGGAGAACGGGCAACAGTTGCAGCCCCAATCCCAACAACCGAGCCACGCTTCACAGAATATGTAACGCCCTTTGGAGCTGTGGAATTTGGTGTCTGGACCAGTGGCTTTGCAGGCAGCATTGACCAGGGCAGTGGATTTGTGGAGTTTTGGCTGCGTGGTCTTTGAAGTTGTTACTGGCAAGCCACTCATGAAGCCTCTGGACCGACGGCAGCCGACTTCCAAACAGTGCGTTGCTGAATGGTGCAAAGATTGGCCAGAGCTGATTGCTTCCTCCGCCTGCGTTGCCGGTACTCGGGGATCTTGGAGCTGCTGGCGTGCTCGTATGTGGTCTTGTGGCATGTGGAGCTCTGTGGTGCTGAACGCTTGCTTCCCTGAGCCAAAGTCCAGGAAGTGGATGAAAGATGGTGCTGCCCACATCAACCGCGCTGACTGAGCGGCGTTTGACATTCCAGCAGCCGGCTTTCAGAAAAACATGAAGGCTGGCAGGGGTTTGCTTTATTATTGTGCTGTCCTGCCATTGCACAGGCCCTGATCTGTTGCGGTTCAAAGTCCATGGTCTGCAGGTCCGCGATCCACTGTCCATCTTTCTTGATTTATTTTGTAAGACCTGATGCTATTATATACGGTTGATGCATGCGCTAGACAAAAACCATTGCTTATGTTATGGCCCATGGTTGCGACAGCTACAGTAATAAGTTGTACCTAGAAACAGCCACTGAATGGGGAGCAGGCTATCGAAGGAGCTTATTGGCAAAGAAAAATTGTACCAGCTGGCACTTTCAACATTGGACATTCTCTTCTGCGCAATTTCTTGAGCATTTTTATCGGAGAAGAGCCTTTTCATCTTTTTTGGACTGCTGCTCTGTGCAGGTGAAGGTTGACCGATGAGCTGCTACAATTGCTTTGATAACCGAGAAAAAATGGCCATAAGACATGACAAGTGTGGGGGGGTACTTGCTTGGATTGCGAATTTTAGAAGGGATCATGATTGTTGCCACAGGCACAGGCATGCAACTTGGATTTTAGTGATACACTTGGTCAGCCCACCTCCAGATCCACTAAAACGCAGTATATTCTTAAATTTTTTCGGGCCAGTCGAAACACCAACCCAGTTTTCTTCCCTTGGCATTACTGCCATTCACAGGGTCCATGAAGTGCTCCAAGAGTTCTTCAACAATCTCAGGTGTCAACTGTGGTGTCGTGGCAAGATAAGTACGCTCTGAAGGTAAGAAGACTGAAACAAGTACTTCAGCTTCTTCTTCCAAACTTGTGGAAACATTGTCCTTGTTCAAGTCATGATTCATCTCAAGTAACCACCAAACTCCTTTCCTCTTCACAATAGAAGTCCTCAAGTGAAACTTCTTTCGATCATAATGTGAATCAGGAGTTCTCAAAGCTCTGGCACGATAAGCAACTTGAGCATGACCATTTTCAAAAGGATACCAACCAGACTTGTGTTCAACAGATTCCAAAAACTTCAACATGGTTTCATCAACAACAGGAGTCCAAGCACAATGTAGGACACAGGTGCCGGTTCTGTTGCCTCAGAGTCAGCAAAGCTAACCTGTTTTGGCTCCTTAAAAGCACCATCATAGCATACATATGTACATCTGTCCGCTCTTGTTGGTTGGATGCCAAGCGAAATCAGAAATTTGTCTAAGCGGTTCCACCATCTACGTGGTGCGTCCGCAAGTCCATAGACGGAACGAGTGCACAAACCAACCAAGTAAGGAGGCAAACCAATGTCAGTAGGCAACTGAACATGGATAACGCGTCGGTCTAAGTCGTACGTTTCCCCCTGAAGGAAGGCAGTTTTCAAGTCTAAATGGAGTAAATCCCAGAACATCGAGGCTGCATGCTGAGATGCCACACGAAAACCATACCTGGTAGCAGTAGGACTGTCAGTCTGTAAGTCATACTTTTGAGCATCTTGAAAGCCTCTACATACCCATCTAGCCTTGAACTTCTTGAACTGTCCATCCTTATCAACCTTGATCGTAAGCACCCATCTGCCAGTGACATAGTTACGTCTCTTGTCTCTGAAAGTCATGGCAGTGAAATTCAGAAAACTTCTGAATTCTTCAAGCTTGGCTTGTTTGATCTCCTTAGCATACTTTCTCAAGACTTCTTGGGTGATAACTGATTCTTCCAATAGGCTGCTTCTTTCCATTCTTGGCAAGATACTGTTCAAACTGGTTGAACCCAGTAACATCGTATGAACCAAAATCAGGAGCAGCTTGGATTTTGGGTCCTAAAGGAACAAAAACAGTACCATCAATGTCGACAAAATGAGAGTGGTCTGACGTGTAAGGTTCAGTGTCCACATCTTCTTCCTGAAGCTGGGCAATGTCATCCTCAGTCAAAACAGGAGTATCGTCTGTTTCATATGGTTCTGTTTCATCATCATCGTTTTGTGATGATACCAATTCTGGTGTTCCTTGTGAAGACTGCTGTTGCGCAGGCTGCGCAAAATCACCTGGCGTGAACGATGTTGGTGTTGTAGTAGGCAATGGAATTGTATTATCATGTGAACTTGAGGCAGTAGGATCACGTGAAGGTCCTTCATCTTCTTCATCTTGAGGTTTCTGAGTAGGAACTGAAATAGGCTGAGACCTGGTAATTGAACCTTTGGCCTCTTGATAATCACCTTTGCCTTTGGTAAAGCACCAGTAGAATCAGTTGAGATCTGTCTCTGCTTCCTTTGAACTCTGATAGGCTCTGACGTCGGATCAGGTCCTGGTGGAGAATCGTCATCTTGTCCAGCATCAGCAATCTCTTCGATTGGAATGTCAGGATTGGAAAACGGAGTTGATGGTGAACTTGGTTGATGTGTTTCCCCCGAGTCCTGTATTCCGGGCATATCCAAATCATCATCAGGTGGTGGTCCATAATCATCTGGAATGATATACTCTTGGTCATCATCATCATCTGGATCAGGTCCAGTGTTGTAGTCAGGTTGATTCTCATCATCATTGTTTGGTGGAACATCACCATGCTGATCTGGATGAATGGGATCGTCACCATCTGGTGGTGTGCTTCCTTGAGTAGGAGGATCTTCAACTCTCCTTTTGATAGCACCAGTGGTTTCACGTGAAAAGACGATCATAATCCATTCATGGATTTTGAACTGTTCATGATGTGGATACAACTGTGACACAAACATGAAGTAAACATGATCATAGCCACCAGGTTTCCAAATGAGTAAGACAGCACCCTCAGGATGTTGAAATAAAGGATTCACTCTTCCATAAGTTCCTCTGAACACACTGCAATCTTCAAAGTACATTTGAGGCAATGTCTTTTTCCTGACATCTTGAAGTCCAGGAATCAATTCAATGATTCTGGGGTCAGTTGATTCTCTGACAATAGCCTCTGTACTCCTTGGCAACTGATCAATTTTCCTCAATGTTTGAACAAGTAACTGAGTGGTAAACCTCTGTGGAAGTATCTGCTTCAAGGACCACTGGAATAGAGGTTTCAACATGATGCAAGTCTTGCAATAAACATGAACACTCAGCACCACGGTCCAAAAACATTGACGTGACACACAATGCTCCATCATCAAAATGTTCCAACAGATCTTCAAACAAGAAATACTGTCTCATGTGCCTCAAAGGTACAAGTTGCGTGAACTGTGCAATGAATGAACACAAGTATGATGGTAAGACCTTCCATTGTGGATCATTCCAAAGCTTCCCTTCTCTACTGAAGGCATGCTGTGGTTCCAACATGTCAAAGTCTTCGTCATGATTGTAAAACACACGCAAGTTTTTGATTGAAGGATCACAACGACAGTAGTTTGTCATGTCAAGGTTGAAGCAACCTATGTGATACTTGATTCTGTCCTTCTGAAGTTTCTTCCAAGTCAAGAACTGAGCAAATCCTGAATCAGGTGGAGCAATCACCAAGAAACCTTTTCCTCGGTCAACTTGCCATTTCATCACATCAAGGCAACTCTGAATGGATGGGCAGTGTGTGCTACGAAGATGTCTCTTCGGCTTTTCTTCAAGGCAAGCCGTTGCCAACTGAAAGAGAGGTGTATGTCAAACTACCAGGGGGCTATCCATCCTATGTGAATGAACTCAGCCTGGAAATGGTAGGTGCAGGACATCGAGATGATCTCCTGCGTCTTTTGAAGGGAGGTTTTGGGTTGGCAGAGTCCCCTAGGTTGTGGTATTTGGAGTATCGCAACACTCTGAAGATCATAGGCCTTCGTGAGTTGAAGCTTGTCCCTGGCATGTTCCGAGCATTTCATCCAGATGGTTCCCTACGAGCAGTAGTAACGATTCATGTAGATGATACCCGCTACACGGGAGATGCCACTGCCCAGGAGCTTTGGGATGAGCTGCATGCGCGATTAAAGTTTGGAGCCTTGAGGAAGTCTACGGAGGGGTGGACAAAGTTTTGTGGTAGGTGGGAGAAACAATGTCCATCTTCTTTTGAGTTTAGCTATTGTATGGATGAATACATTGCAAAGATCCCGGACCTCTCAGAGAAGGCTCTAAAGTTTAAGGGTGAGAAGTTGTCAGACGAGGTGCGGACAGAGCTCAGTTCGTTGTTGGGGCAGACCAGTTGGGCAGCACGTCAGGGTCGACATGAACTTCTGTATGGTGTTTCTCATTGCCAACAACTAATGGGATTGGGTGAGCCAGATGCCATCAAGTATGTTCAGAAGCTTTTGGTGAAGGCGAGAGAGAAGGTGGAGATCAAGGTCAAGAATTTAGGATGTCGTTTTGGGGAAGTCATCGTGATTTCAGCCAGTGACGCTGCGTATGCCGCGCAGCCACGTGCAGGCAGTCAAGGTGGGGTGGTTTGTCTTTTAGCGCATCCAGACGCATTGACCAAAACAGCTCCTGTAGCTCTTCTAGAAGCCTCCAGTGTTCGCATCAACCGAGTTGTCCGATGTAGCATGAGTGCAGAGTTGAGCATGGCAGCAACGGCATTTGAGCATGGTGACTTCATTAGGGCTGTGATGGCCGAACTGACCCTTGGGCGATTCAGCTTGAGTTCATGGAAATGGTTTTCTAGCACATGGAAGCATTACTTGGTCATAGACGCAAAGACTGGGTATGATGTGTTGAACTCAGAGGGTGTCACAGCGGATAGGAAGGTCATGATCGATGCTGCAGTTCTTGGAGAAGCCATGATGGAAGAAGGTTCAGAAAACTATGTGAGATGGATGCCAGGTAGAAATGATATCAGATGGCATGACCAAATGGTCGGGAAATGGCGTCTTAGAGCATGTCATGCGCACAGGGCAGTGGTCATTAGTGGACACCCCAGAAGCACAAGAACTTAGAGAATCAGCTGCCAAACGAAAGAGAGTGCACAATATGAAACGTAAAGGTCAGTCATCTCCTGTGAATCCACAGGGGGCTGGTGTGAAACAGTCCCAGCACATGAGCTGACATTTCCAAATTCCTCGTAGCTACG